TTTAAGTTAAACGTTTTAAGTTAGTTAAGTTAATTAAATTAAATTAAATTAAGTAGTTAGTTAGTAGGTAGTGACGTACTACTAACTAACTACTATATATATATATATATATATATATATATATATATATATATATATATATAGAGAGAGAGAGAGAAGTGATATGGTGCAATAGTTGTATTATAGTGGAAGGAGACGACGAGGTGGCTTCATCTCGTATGTTACATTAATCTAAAATCAACGGTGAGATGTGGCTCAAAGCTCACCTAAGAAAGAGGGACTACAAAAAGCGGGGGAAACCAAAACGAAATCTACCTCTGTCCACTTTCACCCGCCAAAGCTCTCTCCCAATGCCCACTTCCACTCGCTAAAGCTCTCTCTCAATACCCACTTCCACTTGACAAAACTCTCTCCCGAAGTAGAGAACTCATTAGGCTCAAACTCATCCTCAACGGGAAACCCTAACCCAAAAAAACAGGTACCTCTCTCCCTACATCAGTTACGACAAAAAATAGGTAACTTTCTCAGTCTCTCTCTCTCTCTATCTCTTTACATCAGTTACAACAAAAAATATGTAACTCTCTCTCTCTCCCTCTCTCTCCTTTTTTCTTTACCATACTTGTGGAATCTAACAAACAGAGATCATCAAACCATCCACAGAGGACCACCATTTTTACAGACTATTCCTATAGCATTTATGGCCCATGTTCTTCTTTGCTTCCAAAACTTGCTCTTATTCTCCTTTCGTAAATGAGAATAACCAAAGTTTGGAATTGGGAAGTTAGGCCAAAGTTTGGTATTTGGTAGGCCAACTTTGCTAAATATTTGCACATTTATGTACACAGAGATCTGTATCGGGTCCTTTTAAATCTCATTCAGTAACCCTTTTATGCTTTTTTTTTTTTATTGCACCTTGGATTTAAGGTCTCAAGGCTACCCAAACATTCTCATTCAGCGAACATTGGGTTTTTATTGCTCCTTGGGTTTAAGGTCTCATGGCTACCCAATAAAACAACAATAATATGTTCTTCAACACAATGGTATAGATGCTCTCTTTCATCTCCTTGAACACCATGGTTCTTTATATGCCATGTAAGCCATGTGGTTGTTTTGCTGTGTAGCTATTTTGTTTTGATTCCATTGCATAACCATTTTATTACTAGGTAACTAAATATTGAAAGGGGAGTGAAGAAACTATTAGGAATATTAATGGATGTAGTGTTTGATAAGAATGTATTGTAAGGGCTAACCAAATGGATTCAGCTTACCTACATGGATAGAAGAGACCATTGCTTTCAACATCATTTACTCTTGTTGTTGCTTAGATAATGATAAAAAAGGAATTTTGGGCTTGTGTTCAATTGCTTGTTTTTGAGATTCCTTTGCTTCAAAACCATTTTCTCTATGTAGTGATTCTTTGTTCTATTACTTCCCATGGAAAAAATCATGACAATTGCATTTGATTTATGTAGGGATTCTCTTGATTGCTAGAGGTTTTATTGTCTAATTGTAAATTGATCATATTGGTTTTTATGACATCTTATGCTTAAGTTCTCAAATTCACTGTTAATTTTTAAATTAGTGTTTGACTATGCTCATCCTCATTTTCTTAACTTTTGTAAGTAATGTAGGTCAGTTCGTTTTAAGATTTTGCGTTGTATGCGATGAATTGTATTAGAAGATCTTTTTGTTGGCTTCCTTTGGTTCATGGTGCTTGTACTTTATACTTTGGGTGTTATGATGCTTGTGATGGACTAGTTTTCTACATAAAGATTTCATATTTCCCTTCACTTTGATATTTTTTTGAAGCTATGTCAAGTTGATATTCTCTTTAAACTTATTAACTCTCTCTACAATATATGATCTTATTGTGTTCAGATATTATTAAAATTTCAAAGTTCTCATGGGAATGATGTTTCCTGCATAGGTTATTTTTTAATACATATTATCATGGATATTAACGAAGATCAAGGTCACGTCCTCACCAATGATGTTGTGACTTACAGTGGGATGGATTCTTGGGACATTACTCCTATTGTAGGTGAGGTTAAGTATACAGTTGAAGATTTGGCAGCAACTTCTCCTTATATCAATAATGATGCCATAATGATAGAAAATTCTATGGTAAAAGTTATAATTGAATCTAATGAAAATTTGAATTTTGAACCATATGAAGGATTGAAATTTGAATTTGAGGAATCTGGGAAGTAGTTCTATAATGAATATGCTAGGCGGATAGGTTTCGGTATGGATGCCAGTACCCTTTATTATATGGATGATGGAACTGCTAATGTTAGAAAATTTGTTTGTTCGAAACGAGAATTCCGAGAGAAAAGATATATGGACAATAAAAACAGAGTTAAAAGACCACGTGCAATTACTCGAGAAGGGTGTAAGGCAATGATGATGGTGATGAAAATTGATAGTGGAAAGTGGGTTATTAGGAAGTTTGTGAAAGATCACAACCATTTGCTAGCGAAGCCCGGAGAAGTTCAATATTTACGATCATGTAAGAAGATGACCAACACGGCACAACATATTATAGACACATACACCAATGCAGGATTACGTCCGTGCCTTATAATGGCTGTGCTTAGCCAAGAAGCGGGTGGAAGTGACAATCTTGCATTCGCCGATCGTCATTGTCAAAATCACATTGCCAAAAGTCGGGAAAAGATATTTGAAAAAGGATATCTTAAACTTGTCCTTGAATACTTTAGAAATATGCAATTTGAGAATCCTGCATTTTTCTATGCGATGCAAGTAGATGAGAATGGACATTTAAGTAGAATATTTTGGGCTGATGCTAGATCAAGGATGAACTATCAAATTTTTGGGGATGTTGTTGTGTTTGACTCAACTTATGTGACAAACAAGTATCGAATGCCTTTTGCGTCATTTACAGGAGTAAACCACCATCATCAATCTGTGTTATTTGGTTGTGCTTTACTAGTTGATCAAAGTGAAGAGTCATTTGTTTGGTTATTTAAGACATGGCTTCAAGCAAAGTCTGGCCATCATCCAACTTTCATAATCACTGATTAAGATCTTGCCATGGGAGCAGCCGTCAGACAAGTATTTCCAAATACTCGCCATCTCCTTTGCGTATGGCACATTTGGAAGAAAGTACCAGAGAAGTTGTCTCATGTATATGGGGAACATGGAAAAAGTTTTAGTGATGATTTTCATAAATGCATCCATAATTCTGAGACAATACATAAGTTTGAATCGCGTTGGCAAACAATCATTGATCGCTACAATTTAAGAGAGAATAAATAGATAATTAGAATGTATGGTATTTGTGAGCAATGGGTTACGGCATTCATGCAAACACTTTTTTTGCAGAGATGTCTACAACTCAATAGAGTGAGAGTATGAATTCATTTTTGGATGACTATGTAAATGCAAAAAGTACAATAACAGAATTTTTTGAGAATTATACACTTGCATTAGATAGTTAGTTTAGAAAGGAGATAGATGCGATCTTTGAAACAGTTCACAAACATCGGGTTTTGAAGACTTATTTTCCAATGAAGAAAGAAGCAGCATGCATTTATACCAAAGCAGTGTTTGACAAATTTGAAGAGGAATTGTGTCACAGTATTGAGTATATTGTGATAGAATCAGATAATGATGGGCAAAGCATTGTATTTAAGGTCTCAAAATATGATGAAGAGAAAAGGGTATTCATTGTTACATTAAATGTACCTAAAATCAAAACAACTTGTAGTTGCCAATTGTTTGAATTCGCTGGATTACTTTGTAGACACATTTTAATTGTTCTCAGAATGAAAATTTTTTTTAAAATTCCACCTTGTTACATCTTGAAGCGATGGAAAAAAAATGCCAAGGAAGGATGTGTAATAGATGAACATGGTCATACAATGCAAGTTGATTTGCAGGAATCCTTGACTGTGCGATACAATGAATTGTGTAGAAGGGCAATAAACTTTGCAGATAATGGAGCAATGTATAAAGAAGCATTTCAAAAAGCAATGCATGTTCTTGATGAGGGCTTGAAGAGAGTTGCAATTGTCAAATAAAATATAAATAGAACATGTCAATAAGGCAGTCCAAAAGATTCTTAAGTTTTGCAATTAAATGCCAATGTAAGTGAATAAGTGAATTTAATAAACCATATGAGAGTGCTTGATCCCCTATCAGTGAAGACGAAAGGGAAGCCTCCTAAGCATCGGTTGAAATCCTTCTTAGAGAATACAAAAAAGAATGATAGGAAATGTACCATATGTAAAGGTAGTGGTCATGATAAGAGGAATTGCCCAACTTTGAGGAGTATATTGAATACCGAAGAATGCAACTCAAAAGGTTCTTAAACTGACCCCTTTTTTAAATCTATCATTTTCAATTGTTAATGAATTTGTAATTGATCTTTCTCTCTCCCCCGTCCTACCCTCAATTAATTAATATTTGGTTTGTAACAAACTCAAGTACCAATCATGCTCCTCATGTTTGAAGAGTATTGGAGAAGTTGCATTAACAATCATTCGCTCTTTTGATGAAATCTTGGTCTCATGAAAGTCAGCTTATCAAGAAGAATTGAGGGATCTCTCATTAGCACCACTTCTTGTTCTCAGGAAATTGCTTATTTAGTGGAACTTATGATCTCTCATTAACACCACTTTTTGTAAAGAATGCTACCTCAAGCACCATTTTTCTGTACATTTTACCTTTTTCTTTGGGGTACCATTTTTTTTATATAGAATGTTGCCTCAAGCACCAAGTTTTGTCTATGTGGCCTTTTTCTATGGGGCCTTCACCAATTGTAATTTTGGACTAAATAATAATTTCGAGGTTTACTGCATTGAATGGTTTTTCTATGTTTCAATCGTTTATTGACATCATTTTCAAGTATGGCATTGATAATGAGTACGCATGGATTTGAACAGTTGGGGTCTTTGATGATTGGCATGCAACATAAAGAGGGTGAGAAATGCCAATTCTATTATACTGAACTTTGGATTGGGTGCCATTCTATACAATTTTGAACACTTGTTTTCTCATTTTCTGCTATTATTTTAGATCCTCTCAAAATCTTGTTAGTTTGGTGGTAAACTTTTTGTAAGTCAATTACATTGAATCAATAGATTAGAAGCTTGCCATTTACTTTCTCTCTCTCTCTCTCGCTCTCTCTCTCTTTCTCTCTCTCACACACACATGTTGTGTGAACACCATCTTGTTTTATGTCTAGAACAAACACCCCAATTTCTTCAAACCATCAGCTAAATCGGATTTTTCTTTATAACCTCAACAATAAAATGAAATATGGTTTATCACATGTAAGGACCACACAATGAATTTACACTTCATGAAGTGGCAAATTTATTTCAATCAAAGCCACAAAGTACATAGTTGGAGAGAGAGTGGTTCATTATAGAAGCCATGTGAAATTGAAACTTGGACCGTCACATGTAGCAACCACATAATTGCATGAATGAAATTCAAGTTGTAAAGAACTGAATAATCCAAATGAAAATATATTGATAAGAAAACTTCTTTACAATGAAGCACTGAAACATAATGTAGGCTAATGTGTACTTGTGCCCTCTTTCCTTTTCTTCCTCTAGGAGAATCATGAAGCCAATTCAGCATAAATAAAACCCCTTACAAAGCCTTGCTCTAATATTGACAAAATTCCTTAAGATACTTGCTTGATGGATTGGTTTCGAAAAGAGCCAACCAGCTCATGATTGTCACATGCAACCAAAAAATTGATATCATCGTGAAAGAATACTCGATAGCTTTTCTTAAGTTCCACCTTGATAACTTCCACAATAAGCAGATACAAGTATTTAGGCTCTTTTCTTCGCTATGAGTTTCTTCAATACCGTCCATGCCTGAACCAGTCATTTTTTTTTCACATAAATGGTTGTTGAAGCTTCAAAATATGAAATTTTAGGATAGAGCAGTTTAATGACAAATATCAGTAGAAAATACTATTAAGATCATGAACCATAGTGTAGACATTCCTCATCAAATTTGAGAAAATAAATTGATGCAACCATTGGGATGACATTACCATATTTAAAGAAATTGGCCAAGCCAGCTTAATTGTCCAATTTTCTTCCATGTATTCATAGTAAAACAAGTGTAGCATGAAATTCAATCCCAAAGCCATTTCAAACTCTTGCTCTGCAATAAGATCAATTATATCTAATTCAAGTTACTTGATTATTAGTTCAGTGTCCTTAGCCCACAAACACATGCTTAGAACATATGCAACAAATATCAAGAAGAGTTATGATGAAGGTCTCAACTCTGTGCATTAATGAAATTCATAAAACATTCCTTAAGATAATATAAAGAATTTTGAGATCATCGTCAAAGAACACTCGATAGATTTTCTTAGGTTCCACCATGATAACTTCTACGATAAGCATATACAAGTATTTGATCTCTTTTCTTCGCTTTGAGTTTCTTCTCTACCTTCTATACCTGAACCATTCATTTTTTTCTTCACATAAATGGTTGTTGAAGCTTCAAAATATAAAATTTTGGGATAGAGTAGTTTAAAGACAAATATCAGTAGAAAATACCATTAAGATCATGAACCATAGTGTGGACATTCTTCATCAACTGTGATAAAATAAACTGATGTAACCATTGTGATGACATTACCATATTCAAAGAAATTGGCCAAGCCAGCATAATTGTCCAATTTTTATCCATGTATTCATATTAAAACAGGTGTAGGATGAAATTCAATCCCAAAGCCATTTCTAACTCTTGCTCTTCAATAAGATCAGTTATATCTAATTCCAGTTGCTTGATTCTTAGTTCAGTGTCCTTAACCCCACAAACACACACTACTAACAATTATCGTGCTTAGAACATATGCAACAAATATCAAGAAGAGTTATGACGAAGCTCTCAACTTTGTGCATTAATGAAATTCATAAAAAATTCCTTAAGAGAATACAAAGAATTTTGAGATCATTGTCAAAGAACACCTGATAATTTTTATTGGGTTCCACCTTGATAACTTCTACGATAAGAATATATACAAGTATTTGGTCTCTTTTCTTCGCTTTGAGTTTCTTCTCCGCCTTCCATGCTTGAACTGGTCATTTTTTTCTTTCATATAGATGGTTGTTGAAGCTTTAAAATTAGAAATTTTGGGATAGAGCATTTTAACGACAAATATCAATAGAAAATACCATTAAGATCATGAACCATAGAGTGGACACTCCTCATCAACTGTGAGAAACTAAACTGATGTAACCATTGTGATGACATTACCATATTCAAAGAAATTGGTCCAGCCAGCGTAATTATCCAATTTTCATCCATGTATTCATATTACAACAAGTGTAGGATGAAATTCAATCCTAAAGCCATTTCAAACTCTCGCTCTGCAATAAGATCAGTTATATCTAATTCAAGTTGCTTGATTCTTAGTTCAGTGTCCTCAGCCCCACAAACACATACTACTAACAATTATTGTGCATAGAACATATGCAACAAATATCAAGTAGAGTTATGATGAAGGTCTCAACTCTACGTATTAATGAAATTCATAAAAAATTCCTTAAGAGAATATAAAGAATTTTGAGCTATCCTTAAAACAAAGTTGCAAAATACTAGTAAGTAACTATTTTTCAATCTGCAATAGTCCACACAATTCACAAACACAAATTATATATTGTGGAGGAATATTGCATAAACTCCAACTTCCCCAAAATTTCTATAAGGATCAAGTCTAACAATTAATTCCTCTAATCTATCTTCTCCAGTGACTACCTCTTTTTATTGTTAAGAAAATGATGTTAATGGAATCCCACTAAGAACCAACAAACAAATTCAAAAGAAAAACATGCCTCTTACTGGAATACAAATGAAAAAGAAAAATAAAAACTATTACCCCACCATGTCGTAGAATTTATATTAGAAACTACCTGAAGATCAGAAATCCGAACAATTTCACAGACATGAATTTGAATAGAGTAAGAAATCATGTATAAAGATAAAATTGTTGAAGGAGTTCAAGCAAAAGAACTCGTTTCCGACCCCAAATAGCTGAGAAAAGG